GCCGCTCCCTGGGCCCTGCCAGCAGCCGAGACAGCCCCGGCCCGCGGGGGAGCGTGGCAGCACCAAGTGGGGTACCCCAGGGGGATGTGGTATTTACCCCAAACTCCAAGATCTGGAGAGGAAGGTGACCTTCAGCCGGGTCAAAGCGTGGCCAGGGCACTACCGAGAACCTTGACAAGAAGTGGAACTGAATCCCAGCGATGTATTTCACGGGATCCTTGTTTATGATGTTTTGATAATAAATCAGTAAACCACTCCGATCCCAATTTGATTTAAACCCCATGAACTAAGAATTTTGTGAGACAAGAAAACCTAAATACACCCTAACACCTGGGAAACGGAGAAAGATCTCCCTGCCTCCCCGTTGCAGCCATCCTGGAGGCTGTAATTCAGTATTTACAGAAGAAGGATCACAAGAAAACGGCACCGATGCTGGTCTGGGAAATCTTCTTTGCTTCTTTTCAGCCCGATTTTTCTGGCTTCTCTCTCCCCACCTTTTGCCCAACGCAGAGCTTCGCTGCTGCCGAGCCCACGTGCTGCTAAGGACCGAGCCTTATATACGATACGGCGGGACGACAGGGGTTATACAGAGCAAAAGGCAATGGTAATGGTAAAAATGACTTTAATACACAATCAAATTACGGTGCACTATAAATAAAACATGACAATATACAAAAAGGAAATAACTTTTTACAATTAATAACCTCAAATCCTTCTTTTCTCTGAACACATCTGGATAAATAGCGAGAAAGGTGCCAAAATGTACTGCTAGAGACGTGGCGATCGCGAAAAATTCTGGGAGCCATCGAGTGCTGTGAGAGGTCGCTTGCCTCATTTTTTGGCAGGCTTTGGGAACTTCTTAAACTCGGCCTGCTCCTTGAGAAACAGCTGAGCAAGGATGTGATCTGCCGTCGCGTGGAAGTAGTCGTTCATACGCAGAGTTTCCAGCTGTGAGGAAAAAAAAGAATATTTTAAAAAGAACAGTCATAGCTATCCGATCTTATTTACGCCATTAATATGGAATATTAAAGTGCACCTCAAATCCAAGATGAGAATGAATTCCTATGGAAGTCTGTAATGAATGAGAAGTCTTGCGCTGGGCTAGCAAGCGCGTGACCTCAGATAAACACCCCTTGCTCTGGCTCCCAGGCTACAGATTTGTCCAAGGCTTATGGGGCTTGCTCCCTGCAGACCCTCAGCCTCTCCTGTCTGCTCAAGGACAAGTCCCTCATGCACAAACACGACCTGAATTCCTTCTCTTACACACGCGGGGCCATGTCACACCCTACCACAGACCTTTTCTTTGGCTTCCCCACCTCCTTTTTCCGCGTACGGAGTTCGGATAGGTGCTGTACGCCAACCGTCCACACCAGAAGGGAATCTGCTCTGCCAGTGTATTGATAAATTCTCAGAATTTCTTTTGAGGTGTGCACCAAAGCGTAAAGCTTATGCGCAGAAAGAAGAGAAGGCTGCGAGGGGACCTTAGAAATGCCTACAAATATCTGCAGGGTGGGGGTCAGGAGGACAGAGCCAGGCTCTTTCCAGTGGTGTCCAGCGACAGGACACGGGCC